TGTTGTCTTCAACCCTTCACCAACAGTGACCAGTTCTAAGTTGTTGTTGTCTTCAACCCTTCACCAACAGTGACCAGTTCTATGTTGTTGTTGTCTTCAACCCTTCACCAACAGTGACCAGTTCTAAGTTGTTGTTGTCTTCAACCCTTCACCAACAGTGACCAGTTCTAAGTTGTTGTCGTCTTCAACCCTTCACTGCTGGGGTCTTGACGTCTACGTTTGTACACACAACAGTAAATGTTCTTTCAAGGGAGATTTATTTCATTGTTTCAGGAAGCAACATCTTTGCATTCCGGACGCTTCCATTGATGCTCTGTTGCTCTCCCCAAAATGCCAAAGGGGGTCTTTCGACTGATTGTGCCAGTGTATATCTGATTGAACGTTTTTCTGTTCTTTCCTGCAAGGATGACAGATTTTCCGCTTCCTTTTTGTTTTCCCAAAAGCATCATTCTCTCCACAGCAGTTAATACTGGCCTCTGGCTCCTTATCTTCCTCCTCAATCAGGTGGCAAGAGGGACATTTCAAGATCTCCACCTTGTCTGGTGAAGCCATGCGAGAGATTTACACAACTCCATAATATCTTATCCCTTATTCAACAAGTGGGTGGTCGGAGGGCGCCACTGGAAGGTCCTACTTCTTTACTTTCCCTCTGTTGTTTCTGTCTGTCAGTCTGTCTTACATTTTCCCAGCACTAAATGACCATTATTGTGTTCTTTAGTTTCCCTCTATTGTTTCTGTCTGTCTGTCCGTCTGTCTTGCTTTTCCCCAGCATTAAATAACCATTATTGAGTTCTTTACTTTCCCTCCTGTTTCTGTGTGTCGACCCGTCTACCTTTTCCCCAGCACTAAATAACCATGTGCCGATGTGCTTCTCTTTACCAAAAGAAACAAAACCTTATTCAAGAATAAACAGCAGCACACAGTGTTATATCTTCTAAAACTTTCTGTAGAAGCCAGTACAAAGATGGCAGAGAACCAGCTGCGCAGAACACAAGCCAGCATATTACACCTCAACACTGCAGTGAACAGGTCAAAGATCTCCTGGGGGCTCTCGTGGCCTAGAGGTTAAGGTGTTCGCCTCTCATTCAAAGGTCCCGGGTTCGAATCCGGGGAATGACGGGAAGTTTTTCTTCTTTCACCACTTTTCCTGCTCTCTAGCAATGTTCTGTCGTCTGCTTTCGTCTCCACTTTCTGCCCCCACCCCTTCACCTCCTTTGCCCCCTCCTCTGGTCTCCTGACTCTTTCTGCATCCTTTCTACTGCTACTCCTTGGCTTCTGCTTACTGCTGTCTTTCTGCCACACCCCCGATCTTCTGGTAGGAAAGATCTAGCACCTAGCCTTCTCAGACAAGGGCAAAAAATCTCGGAGGTCCCGTGTGCAAGTCGCGTACGTTAAAGATCCCTTGTTGGTCTAACATCAATAAGAGTAGGCTTTGGTCGCCACCCGGACAAAATAAAAAATGTCCTACCAACTGAAAATGTTTGATGTGTCCGGCGCGCTCATATGACCTTATGCAGTTGCA